TCTCTTTCCTTCCACTACAATGATTAATCTTAAACTTTTTAGTCTCAGGATCTTTTTACACTCTTAAAAATTATTGAGGACCCCAAATAGCTTTTGTTTATGTACATGTATCTTTCAACATTTACCACACTAGGAATTAAAACTGAGATATTGGGCTTCCCTGGTGGCGCAGTGGTTGAGAGTCCGCCTGCCGAGGCAGGTAACACGGGTTCATGCCCCGGTCCGGGAGGATCCCACATGCCGTGGAGAGGCTAGGCCCGTGAGCCATGGCTGCTGAGCCTGCGCGTCCGGAGCCTGTGCTCTGCAACGGGAGAGGCCACAACAGTGAGAGGCCCGCATAACGCAAAAAAACCAAAAAACAAAAAACTGAGATATTAAAAATATGTATTAATTCATTTAAAAATAACTGTAATGAACCTATTATGTGTTTACATAAAAATATTTTTATGAAAAATATCTTCTCTAAAGCAAAAACAATTTATTAAGGAGAGGGCATCGTTTTTTTATGTATATAACAGCTTTATTAGAATATAATTCAAATACTACACAATCTGCCCATTTAACGTGTGCAATTCAATTGTTTTTAGTATATTCAGAGTTGTGCAACCAGGAACACAATCAATTTTACAACATTTTCACCACCCAAAAAAGGAACCCCATTCTCATTAGCTGTCTGTCACTCTGCCAACCTTCCCATCCCTCTACCCCTAGGCAGCCACTAATTTAATTTTCTGACTCTATGGATTTGTCTATACTGGACATTTCATAAAATGGAATCATATAATATGTGGTCTTTTGTGACTGGCTTCTTTCATTTAGTATGTTTTCAAGGTTCATCAATATTGTAGCATGAATGTACTTTATTCTTTGTTTAAAAAAAATTAATTAGGTTGCGTTGGGTCTTAGTTGCAGCATGTGAGCTCCTTAGTTGTGGCAGGCAGGCTTCTTAGTTGCGGCTCACGGCCTCCTTAGCTATGGCATGAGAACTCTTAGTTGCTGCATGCATGTGGGATCTAGTTCCCGGACCAGGGATCGAACCCAGGCCCCCTGCACTGGGAGCGAGGAGTCTTAACCACTGCACCCCCAGGGAAGTCCCTGTACTTTATTCCTTTTTATTGCCAAGTAATACTCCATTGTATGGATATATCACATTTTATTTATTCATGCATCAATTAATGGACTTGGGTTGCTTCCACTTTTCAGCCATTATGCTGCCATGAACATTTGTGTGCAAGGTTTTGTGTGGACATGTTTTCATCTCACTTGGGTAATATTTAGGAGTGGAACTGCTAGGTCATATGGTAACTCTGTGTTTAACCTTTTGAGGAACTGCCAGACTGTTTTCCACAGTGTCTGCACCACTGTACACACCTAACAGCTGTGTATGAGGCAGATGGTATACTTTTACACTTCTGTGAATCTCTTTGACATCTGGCTTAATAAAAGACAACCAGGTTCTCATACCTGTTTCTGTAACCAATCTGTTACAAAATATTGTTTTGGTTGAGTATATTAAAAAAATCCAGACTCAGAGAGGTACGAAGTTAGAAAAAGGAAGAACATTTTAACAGCCTTTTCAAATAATGGTGGACTATTTTTCTTTGATAGTATACCAAAACTCTACAAGTGGTAGTCTCTTAAAGGTCAGTCGCAAAGTAGAGCCTGAAACCATATCAATAAGGTTTTATAGTCTGTTATATATTAAAATCCAGTCAATTAACAGAAAAAGGATATCACTGGAAAAACTGGGAAATTTGAATCAAGTCTGTAATTTAGTTAATAGTGTTGTACCAATGATAATTTCTTAGTTTTGATAAATACCATGCTTAAGAAAGATGTTAACACTGGGAGAAGCTGCGTGAGGGGTATATGGGAACTCTATGTACTACTCCTGCACCTCTTCTGTAAATTTAAAATTATTTCTAAACAAAAAGTAAAAAATAAAATCCAATCCATTGACCTGTTTTGTTCTTTGAATGGATCTTTACCCAGCACAATTTTGTGACCTCATGCATTGGTCATTTGGAAAATACTGGTTCACTGAGTTACGCAAATCTTTCAAATGTTACTCATTACACAATATAAAAAATCACGACAGTTACTATCACTACAGACCTTTTTAGGAAAGTCTTTAAGAACTGGGAAGCTGGGACTTCCTGCTGGTGCAGTGGTTAAGAATCCGCCTGCCAGTGCAGGGGACACGGGTTCGAGCCCTGGTCTGGGGAGATCCCACATGCCTCAGAGTAACTAAGCCCGTGCGCCACAACTACTGAGCCTGTGCTCTAGAGCCCATGAGCCACAACTATTGAGCCTGCACTCTAGAGCCCATGAGCCACAACTACTGAGCCTGCGCTCTAGAGCCCATGAGCCACAGCTCCTGAGCCCATGTGCCACAACTACTGAAGCCCATGTGCCTAAAGCCTGTGCTCTGCAACAAGAGAAGCCACCGCAATGAGAAGCCTGTGCACCGTAACGAAGAGTAGCCCCTGCTCGCTGCAACTAGAGAAAGCCTGCGCAGCCACAAAGACCCAATGTCACCATAAATAAATAAATAAATAAATAAATAAATAAATAAATAAATAAAAAGAACTGGGAAGCTGTTAAGCTTACAGTGACAAAGACAAGTTTCCAAAATTCTGGTTTTCACTTGAAAGCTCAAATGTCATTTATTATTGGCCCAAAATATTCTCAGTTGTTTCCCTCAAAGTGGGAAACTGTTCATTTTCTGAACGGGCTTACTCTGCCCATTTTCAAGAAAGTATCTTCCAAACACCTGAGTCTGAATAACCAGTTTGTCTGTAAGCCCCTCTTTCAAGTAAAAATGCTGTTCCCTGAAAAAGCAGCTACTTGAATGCACAGCTCAGTTGTATGAGGACTTGTCCTCGAGACAACGGTAGCCTCCTCTGTGAAGCAGGAGCACTGTATGCGCGTTTCCGTTTCATCACACAGACTATTAAAAAGACGTGTATTCCAAGGTTGAGACAAAATAAATTAGCAGTTTTTACTGCTTCTCCAAGGACATTCTTAAGCAAAACTGGCTTTTCCTCACTTCCTTCTAGTTTGCGATGGTAGGCAATACAATGACTACTGACATTCTGGTGCAGCTGTCCTGATTTGCACTAAGGGCCAGCCAGCCATTTTACCAGTCATTGCTCTTGTCACTTCAATGCAAATGTCAACGTGGTGGAAAGGGCAAGTAAAGCCACAGTATTATCATGAAAACAGTTTGGATCTTACGTATCCCCTGAGACGGTCTTAGGGAGCCCAGGCTCTGCAGACCTCATTTTGAGAACTGCTGCTCTATCAGCACGTAAAGGGCCTTAAAGGCAGGGGTTTGGGTGTGTTTTGTTCGCTGCTGAATCCCCTGTGCCTAGAACAATACTTGGCCTATAACAGGTGCTCAATAAATATTTATTAGATAAATGGGTAAATGAATAAATAAGTGACGGGATAAAGGAATGTGATAACATCTGTAATTACTTTCAGCTGCTTGGAAGTCAAGCAATAAAAAATTTAGGATATTTGTAGCTTTTGGGTATAATTTAAAATTTTACAGAATGCTAAATATTTAATCAGGAAATAAAAGGCATTATTTCTTTTGGCAAAGGCATTTAACTGCGGGGATGCAAAAGCAGCAAGGAACTTTCAAAACTGTACCAACAGTGTTTGCACTGGAAAGCAACTGCTTTTAGCTATGCAAATAACTCCTGAAAACTGGAACACTGCCCGTGACCTAGAAACAGGTGCGAAATCGGGAAAGGAGGAAAAGAACCTCAAGTTTCCACTCGCCCATCATGGTCCCACACTTGTTTTTTCAACCCACAGTGTCTGGAAACGTTTCACGGAATCAAGAGGAATTATGCACAAAGATGAACAGGGAGTCTGAATATAAGGGACACACAGGAAATCTTAAGGAGTAATTAAAGTGTTTCAAGCTTTGAGGACTAAATTAACATAATGTATTTATCTCAGAAAGAGAACTGAGGACCCCAGCGTATGGTTCACATACTGCGAAAATGCTACAGACGTGGGTTTTAGTGAAGCCAAGAAACTGCTGCACAACAAACAGGTGAGCCAGTAATCAAATGTTCTGGTTAGTAGTGAGTTTCCTTACAGCTCACTATTTTTCCATGAAATAGAACTCAGTAAATACACCATTCTTAAGCTGAAGGATTCCAACGTTTAATGGTTCCAGAGGCACTTCAGACTCTCAGTAAGCTTTAGGGATCGTCATTAAAAGGGACTGATCAGTTAAGGAAGCCCTGGTGTCGGAGTTTAATGTCTACACACGTTACTGGCTCTCTGGTTTCTAGTCCCACTTCTGCCACCTGGTATCACCCGGCAACAGGTAAATTCCTTGACCTTTCTAGAGTTCAGTTTCTCCTGAAACTGAAATTCCGAATGCTTAGAATATGAATGTTTGTGAAATACTTTGGGTCCCTTGGAGATACTGAGGTAATTTCAAGGAATTAAGTGTAGGGATGACTCAGAAGACAAAACACCCCAGTAAATTTTAAACTGTCAAGTCTGAAATAATAACCTACAATTTTCTTCCACCTTATAGAAAACTGCCAAAGCTGCTTCCCCAACCCATACATCTCCTTATACCCAGAAATCCCAGGAATAAGACTGAAACCTACACAAGCCACCCTAGTAACTTCTGAATTTCTAGCCACCCTAGTAACTTCTGAATTTCTAGATCCAGAAGCATGAACTTCTGGATCTTCATGCTAATCCTGTTAGACAGGCAGCACAGGGAGAGCCACTTTTATCCTTCAGACAAAGAAACTAAGGTTTAAAGCGACTGAGTGCTTTAACTAAGATGCAGAACTGGGACCCAGCAGGTCGCATGAGCTCAATCGTCTTCCCACTATTGCACCTGCTTTGCTGAGTGAAGGACGAGAGAGCTGGTCCCCTACCAGCATCTCTGAAGCCCCGACAGTGGGCACAAGGTTATCTAGCTTCCTTGGGTCCTGAACACACAATCCTGTTCAACTCACCTGTAGCTTCACAGCGATGACCACTGAGTTAAGGTCTTTGTCCATTTCTTTTAGCATGACAAGTTTCTTCAGGGTCAAGCTGAACAGCCTAGAAAAATTTCAAGAAAGAAGATCGAGTCAAATGTAAGGAACTTATGAGAAAAGTAACAGACAGTCTGTTGAGGAAATGCTGCTTTACCTAAAGGAAGAATGTTAGAATGCCGTTTACTGTGTCTACCATCAGTAAAAGAGCATCCCTCTTATTTAACTTTTGTACTTGGTAAGTGTCAAAAAGGTACATTATTCCATGAATGTCTGTGGATGCCCCTTTATCTCCAGCCAAAACCAAGATGCCTTTTCACTCCTAATATGTGGGAGCAGTTTCTGGGAGCGGGGAGTAGACCAGGGAGGGGCATCAGTGTTTATTTTGCTTGCCCAGTTCCAGTTCCACCTTATGTCTAATCACACCTGAAACATTTACAGACGTAAATCTGTAGCAACAAAGAGAAAATCCACACAAACAAAACAGAAACCATTTGGCAGGAAATGCTTTAAATGACCACAAATTCTATTTCAGCCAAACTTTGCTTCAAACATGCAGAAAATCTTCAGTGCCACAATGAGGAAATTCCCCTTAATTAAAAGCAATGGGACTGTCCCTCACTCTGGAGTCTTGGCATCTCTAATGTGACTCGACCTTGGCCTCCCAAGGCAGGGCTACCCTGGGCTTCTAGCAGGAGCTGGGAGGGAAACTGCAGATGCTGCCTTTCTGCTTCTGCTTTGAGTAGTTCAAGTCCTTAAAACATCCTTTTCCCCGGTGAGGTTCTGGAGGATGGAAAGTTGTAGGTGGGATGCTGCCGACCTGAGTCAGGTCCTGAGACCCCGACTCGGTCTGGGGCTCATTTTCCCCGTTTCCCATCGGTCTCACCTCTGGGCTTCCTCCTTACTCTCTAAGCTCCAGTCGCCCCGAATTCATTTCTGCTCCTCGCATGCCCACTCTCTCACCTCTGGGCTTTCTTCCAAAGGGCAGGGCCCAGTACAGCTGCTCAGCAAATATTTGTTAATGAAGTTTAACACTTTCTTAAAACGGCCTCTAGCTAAAACCAGGTGAACAAGAATACCTGTTGAAGAAATTCATGTAATTCATGAAAAAAGGGGGACAAATCCAGATCCACAGAACTGAATTCTAATTTTGAATTCACCCTCACCCCAAACACTTGCTAACATCTGCTGACACAAAGCAAATAAAACTCTTTCTTTCCTTTTGCTTTAAGTCACAATCAAAATCAACTAAAAGAAAGCCTATCAAGTCTTTTCATATACATTATTTCATCCAGACCTCAAAATGACTGTGTGTGTGTGTGTGTGTGTGTGTGTGTGTGTGTGTGTGTGTGTAGGGGGCGGGGTGGGGTGGGGCAGGGGTCACTGCTCTACCCATATAACAGAAGAGGAAACAGATTCTTTTTTTAAAAATTTTATTTATTTTTGGCTGCGTTGGGTTTTCGTTGCTGCACATGGACTTTTCTCTAGTTGCGGTGAGCGGGGGGCTACTCTTCATTGCGGTGCGTGGGCTTCTCATTGCGGGGGCTTCTCTTGTTGCGGAGCACGGGCTCTAGCTGCACGGGCTTCAGTAGTTGCCGCACACGGGCTCAGTAGTTGTGGCACACGGGCTTAGTTGCTCCGCGGCATGTAGGAGCTTCCCGGACCAGGGATCGAACCCGTGTCCCCTGCATTGGCAGGCGGACTCTTAACCACTGCGCCACCAGGTGAGTCCTGGGAAACAGATTCTAAACAGAGTAGTGACTCAGCTAAATTCCCACAGCTAGTAAGGGACAGAGCTAGATTCTAACTCCAATCTCCTTGTGGTAGGCAAATAATATCTCCTAATCCTCAGAACCTGTAAACTTTTTACAGGGCAAAAGGGACTCCACAGATGTGATTAAATTAAGGTGGAGAGATGATCCTGGATTATCTGGATGGGTCCACTACAATCACAAGTCTTTATAAGAGGAAGGCAGGAGGGCCCAAGTCAGAGAATGAGATGTGACCACGGAAGCAGAAGTTGGAGTGATGTGTGGCTGGCTCTGAAGATGGAAGAACCCCAGGGTCAGGGGCCAAGGAATACAAGCAGCCTCTAGAAGCTGGAAAAGGCAAGAAAACCAATGCTCCCTGGAGCCTCCAGAAGAAATGCAGCCTTGCCACCGCCTTGATTTTGGCCCAGTGAAACCCATTTTGGACTTCTGATCTCCAGAATTGTGAAAATAAATGTGTGTTTTGTTTTAAGCCACTAAGTCCGCGGTCATTTGTTACAGCAGCTATAGGAGCTAACACGCTTCTCCTCTTAAGACCTGAGGGCTCCACTACACAGCTGCCTCCTCAGCCAATGACTGGAGCTCCCGCACCTGTGCTCCTAAAACACGCTCAGGTTTGTTAAACTGGAGTCACCACGGTTCATGCTCGCCGCCCCCTCTCCCCTCCCATCAACAGCTACCCACAGCATCACTTGTTTCTCCTTTCCCTTCAGAGTAGAAACGTGCTGGCCCAAAAGGAACTCTGGTTCTGCCAACACCCAAGGGATTATTACATTTCACATAGTTGACTACTGAGAAATGTTACTAACTACACTGTTCAGCTGATTTTCAAGCTTTGTTGGAGAGGAAAGGGAAGGAACACAACTGGGATGAGCAAATGGAAAAGACTGGATATGCCCAATTTTGTTCCTCATCTAAGGCTGCCGATTACAAATGCTTCTGATAAGTTGGGCTTTTGTTTGTTTCCAAAGCACCTACAGACAGACGCGCTGGTGCTGAATAAACTCACTGCCAGAAAAGAAGAGTCACAGGAATAAACTGGGAACACGCGTGTTTCTTCCCCTCTGCTTGTGATCCTTCACCCTCTCACACATTCCACACGTTGAGAGAGCATCTCCTGTACGCCAGGCACTGGGTTAGCGGGAGTTTAGAGGACATGGTCCACAGCCTCATGGAGATTACACAGTCTGGTGGGGAAGACAAGCAACGACTTACACGACACTTCTTGTCCTCAGCTCTTCTATGCCCCATGAGGCGCTGGACCATCTTTCCTGTTACGTAACATATAAAATATTGTAATAGGTAATATGGTGGAATTTTGTTAGGAGGGAAAGACATATCATATACCAATAAATATTTGGTGAATAAATAAACAACCTTTAGGCCACAGCACCTTATGTCAAGAAGAAAGCCAACAATGATCTAGTACCTTAGGTAACAAAATAATAGCAAGACTGGATGTGTTTAGTGTTTGCTCAGAAACCAGACATGCCACATTGATTTCCATACTATTGGCAATCAGTTCAACAGGCCTTTTTGTTTGTTTTTAATGGTATCACTCATGGGGATGTGGGGACTTAAATGTATTCTGGTTCTTCAAAGCATAAGAGAATGTGACTCATTAAGCATCTACCATGTACCAGTTTCCTGAGATACATTTCACTATTTCATGTCAGTCTTACGATAATTCTAAGAGGTGGGGTACTCTAACTAGCTTACAGATAAGGATGTGGGGAAGGATTAAGAAACTTGCCCAGGGCTTCCCTGGTGGCGCAGTGGTTGAGAGTCCGCCTGCCGATGCAGGGGACACGGGTTCGTGCCCTGGTCTGGGAGGATCCCACGTGCCGCAGAGCGGCTGGGCCCGTGAGCCATGGCCGCTGGGCCTGCGCATCCGGAGCCTGTGCTCCGCAACGGGAGAGGCCACAACAGTGAGAGGCCCGCATACCGCAAAAAAAAAAAAAAAAAAAAAAGAAACTTGCCCAAAGGTCACACAAGAAAGTGGTTGAGCCAAGATGCAAACTTAAGTTTATCTTAGGTCAGAACCCAATTAAAATTAGCACAGGGCACTTATTTGAAGGTAAGAAGAAATTATTTTAATTACAAGTAAATATTTCCAACATATAGCTTAATACAATGGAAAAACTCTGAGTAAATAAGACACATTTCTCCTTAAACCCACACTCACACAATACCGATTGAAACAGTCCCAGATATAGTTCTGAGGATGACTGAGTCTGGCAAGATGTTCCAACGGAGGTGTGTCAACAAGTAAGAGGCTGAGTTAGATGCTGATCCTAGGGTTTTTTGTTACCATATGTTTTATTGGTTGGGCACTTCATATGCAGTAAAAATACAGTACCCAAGGCCTGAAAGAAGAGTCCTTCCCTGACCATACTCCAGCTTTAATCAGTTTTTCTACAGCAGAAAATAACTTTACACTAAAATCATAAAGACTGGTAATTCCAAGTGCTAGTGAAGATGTGGACTAACCAGAAGTCCCATATGTGGCTGGTAAGACAGATATCTGAGAAACCACCTGGTAGTTTATTAGTAGATATTAAATATATGCCTCTTCCTCTGCCCAGGTCCCAAGAGAAGCCGAGAAAAACGAGGGCACGGGCCACACAAAGACAGAATGTTCAGAGCAGCCCTAAACTGGAAACAGCCTAAGTGTCCACTAACAGGATGGACCAGCGAATTGTGGCATACAAAGATGACAAGCTACTGATGCATGGGACAACATGGACAAACTTCAGAAACACTGTGCTAAGCTAAAAAAGGCAGACACAAAAGACTATATGATTCCACTCATACGAAGTTCAAGGATAGGTAAGACCAATGCATGGCGATAGGAGCCAGTTCAGTAACTGAGGCAGGTGGAGACATTGACTGGGAAGGGTCATAAGGGAACCCTTTGTGGGTGACTGAGACACCCACGACGGTGGCCACATGGATATTCACACCTGCAAAAATCCACAGAGCTGCTTTATATTCAAGACCGACGCACCACACTATACACAAACTACACATCAAACTACACATCAAAAAAAAATTTTTTAAGACCAGAATGAAGGCTTTAGAGTCAAACATAACCTGGTCTGAATTACAGTTCTGTCATATTACTCTGTCAGTCATGCATCAGCCTACGCTGAGCTAGTCACTGTTCCAGTCACTTGCGATGCATCAGTAAACAAAACAGACAAAATTCTTGTCATGGAATTTATATTCTAGAGAAAAAAATGTCAATAACAATAAACATAATTATTAAGTAAATTACATAGTATGTTAGATTGTGTTA